TGTGCCGTGAAGGCAAATGACCTGCAGACATCGGGGGCAAACACATAGATTTGGTCAAACTGACTGCGAAACGGTGGTATCAGCGTGCCGTCGGATCCATTAATCATGTTGGCCCAGCTGGTGAGCCAACAAGAAACAGAAGACGAATTGCGGTAGGACACAATTTGACCTAGCTCCTCTGGATCACTGGCACCATCACGAATGACGTAGGTTCCATCCTCAGTCCCGTTCTTGCCAACAAAAAGGCCTATCTCCGTTGGGACAGGAATCAGTTTTCGCACAATGTCCAGTACTGGATTCTTGTAGCCCCAGATAAGTTCTTTCGCTGTCTTGTTCACAAAGAGGTTTTCGTTGTAATACAACTCTAGTATGCGCATAATGAACGAGATCATGCTAGGGAACTCTTTTGACTTTTCTGCAATTGCAATATAGGCCAGATTGAGGGCGATTATATTGGTGTTTTCATCCGCACTGGAGAGATTTCGGTCGAATTCGTAAAATTTCCGATTACTGTAGCTGATCGTGCCGTTTTCGGGGTCTAGTGACACGTTCACCCTCTCCTGACGCTGGCGGTATGTGAAAGGACCGTGCTGTTGAAGAATCGGTCGTTTACCTCCGACAAACTCTGATGGATTCATCACGGAAAATAAGAAAAATTGCATGTAGACTTCACCAGGTGGAGAAAGCCATGCATCATATATTTCACTGCCATTTCTGAGTACGATTTTCTTAGCAATTTCACGACGCGACACAAATGGCAAAACTATGGTCAGGGTAACGCCCAAGAGGAGAACTGTGCATAAAAGCGTAGTGATGAGCGAGAGGCACAGCTGGTATCTCTGCATGACGCGGGTGAAAAGTGAGAGTTCATTCGCAGTGTTACTATAGCTGATTCTGACCTATCAACAACGAGGCTGACCACGCGGGTAAACCGTCCAATAATGGGCGGAGGTCACTCTGACGTTCTGTTATGTGATTAGTCGAGAAATCGCATAGCGTGGTGCGCGACATGCGACTAGGCGAATCACGTGGCTCAACGCCAATTGGCTGTGCGCACACACTGTCACCGGCTTTGTGAGCTAAATTTCTGCCTGTGGGCTTTTCCTCTCTTAATCCAACAGCCAGCTAAAAAGCGTATGATTCCGATATAAATGTAGAGGATACATGTAAACCGAACGATGCAGAGTAATTTGGCGTCAGTAATTTACGTTTTATTTGGCATTCAAGCCGCAGATAGACGTTCGTGAAATGCTCACCGCAGTCAATTTGTAAACGGTACTATGCCGTGAGCTCTGCGAAGGAAACTGGCCAACCTATTTAACGGTTCTATGGAATCATCAATTTATGTGTCATATGGAAATGCGACCATCTATATAAGGTTAGGAAATGTGGTAATCAGT